GTCAACTGGATGACCCAGAGCCTTGAGACATCTTAAGTTTTTGTTTAACTCATCACTAAGAGTACGCAGTGCCATTGAAGATTCTTTAGGAATAACATTAAACTCCAAAATGCCTTTAATATGATTACTTGTTATCAGTCGTTTGTTTTCAAATCTATCTACCAAAAGGCTCCATGCCACTGCGTAATTGTTTGCTGAAACCTCCAAAGATTTTATCACATTTGCAGCTTCGCCATTTAAACAAGATTTTAAATAGTAAAACTTTTGAACCTCTCCTAAATTAGGGTTATTGTTGATGAGGGATTCAAAAGTGTCATGAAATTCCATCCAATCTCTATAATAACCCGAAAATGTGGGTAAGTTTATTTCCGGAAAGCGCTACTGTACTAGAATTATTATTGATAGGATTGTTACCACCAAGACCCTGCTGTGAATTATGCGCAGAACCGGCCAGTGAACAAGAATCTTGATTTTGTCGTTGATCATTTATAAAAACACGAACTTGAGCTATAATTTCATGAAATTGTTTCTCAAAATTATCTTTTTCAAGGTTACTTTGAGAAAATATATCGCTTTCATACTCCTCGGCACTTTGATTGGCTGGAGGATCTTGATCCAACAATATCAAATCAATTTTTTCTTGTATGTCTCTAAATTCAACAATTAAAGTTTCAGTGTCATTTAATCGCATTGAAAGTTGCTCTACAATTTCGTCAGATATTTCTGGCAAATAATTAACACTGATAAAATAGTTTTTAAAGCAAGTTATTGCACCTTTGAGTGCACCGCGTTGATATTTCAAAGTTTTAAGTTGATCAGCCATAATGTAAACAAATACCAAATTATGCAAATAAATCAACCCGAAACTATGAGTCCCACAACCAAATCTAACTACAAATGAAAGATAGAGAAAAGATAAAGGAAAGGTAGATGGAACGGGCTTACCAATGCTGAATGATCGATTTTCCACAATCCACACCAAACTATAACCGCCACTGACGGCACCAAGGGCGACTTGTTTTGATTTGCTTATATGCTTATTTAAAATGCAATACTATAACCACTATTTGTCGGCAGCGCTAGTTTTTTCTTGCAAATTATCCGGCTCGAAGGACCATAATGTAAAATAAAACAACTTTTTGTATGTAAATTATGCCAATTAACTCAATTTATTCTAAATTTTACAAGCAAGGCGTAGCGAAACTAAAAGGTACTGAATTCTTGCTGCGTAGATACACCATGCGTAGCTCGCTGCCGACTGACTGCATATTCGGAGAGGATCTTGTCCCAAGGTGGGGTAGTGACTACGAGCTCTACGGCTCGCCACAAGTGCTACGATTACAGTGTTGCCGTCATCAAACTTTGATAATCGTACGCGCACAGTTTTAGATTAAATTATTGGACACGTTGTTAATCCAGGAACACACATAGCTCTCATTATAGTGATGTCATATTCATTTTGATTCACAACAGTTACAATGTTCACATCGCCTACACACGACACTGAGAGTTTTTCATTATTGGCTGTTACAATGTCCTGCATCTCAACATTCATTGAGATATTATTTAGCCAATTTTTGTTAACTGTAAGATGTCCACTCGCACCAATCGTCTTTACTGAATTACTGGTATTGTTGCCACTTCTGCCCATATATCGTTTACCATGTTGCCGATTTCCACCAATAAAAGCACTTCCTGTATTACCAGCTGGCTCCATATCTAACAATTTAGTTTTGATGCTGTCAACTGTTAGCTGGATTCCGGAATGCTCTATTGCCATTATCATTGGAGCATATTTTTCTGGCAAACCTGCCAATAATAGCGATCCGACCCAGTCATCATCTATTTGAAAACCTGTTCCTTTCAGCTTCTGTGCTGTTTCTATGAGCTGAGTGACATAGGCCTCCATAGAATCACAGCTCTCATCTGATAGATATCAAGGTACGCAACAAACCAATTTTTCGACAAAAGCCTGTGTCGTCAAACAGCTTTTGAAGCTTTAACCATAAATCTTTGGTTGTTGTTGCATCTTTAACATGCACAAATAGACATGGGTCTATTGATAAAATCAATTTTGCCTTGGCCTTTCCGTCTTTGCCTTTGTCCTGTTCAGTACCGTCCAAGCAACCCTTCAAGTCGTCCAACACTAGCATATTTTGCACTGCGAACGCCCAGTCGCTGTAGTTTTCGCGGCCTTTTAACTTAGGAACACTATTCTTGTCTAGTGTCCCTCGCTAGCTTGTGCCTGTTTGGCCAATCGAGTCAGTAGTCAGTGTTGCCAATTTGTACGATAATAATTGTGGGGACGCACGATAAAAGACCATTAGCACAATATTAAGTTAACTCGTTCGATACATGTGCATGCGCGCATTGATTGGTGGAGTCAAGCAGCCTGACTTATTTATAAAAACAAAAGCATTACCTGAGGGGGGCCCGCACAAGCCTGGGCCCGGGTGGCAAATGCCGCCCTGACCCTATATGGCCAGTCCGACCCTATGGCCAGTCCGACCCTGGGAGTAATGCAGTCTCCCTTTCTTGTGGATTATATCAACCAATTTATTTGGTCTCAAATTGGTAGGGAATTTTCGTAGCTGATTTTTGAAAGTTGCCAAATGTTCAATTTTGATTGAAATTTTCTGATGGAAAATATGCATTTTGCGCTTTAATAGCTTAAACGTTTCTGTTTGATGGAATCTTTCCCAAAAAAAAAATATATATACAGGGTGTCCCACGAGGTTTGTCCCAAATGATAACTTCGGAACGCATCATTATATGTTCCATTGTATATTGCATTGCATTGCATATTGTATTGCAAAGCCTTAACAAATATGGCATTGCGGATTTTGTAATCTAATTTTCTAACGAAAAAGGCCATAATATACCATGAGTTATATTTAAGATTCGAAAGATGACGTCACTTGATCGAAATTGAAGCGAAACTGGTGAAATTGGACAAAAATGGTAGAAGCGGCACAAAAAGTTACCCAGATCCTCAAAATTTCAATTAAATTGGATGACGCGTTCCGAAGTTATTACCTAGCAGAAACGTCGTGGGACACCCTGTATAAATGCCGTTTTTATTTGGACGGCACTATAGACCCGAAGATCGTTAACTGTGATTTTAAACCACCGAAATTGGGGGTTTATTTTAACAGCAGTTTAGAGGTACCTACTTTAAACAAAGATTAACTTGTGGTGCAAGTCAGTTACGAAAAAAGAACCTTTGTTAACATTCAACCCGTCATTACACGCGCCAAAAAACTTACGTCATTACACGCGTTCGGTCAACACGACCGATTGCCCAAAAGTTTATATAAATTATCAGCTTTTTTCGCGGAGACGATCCCAAACGTATCCTGAACGCTAAGGCATGACCTTCGCAGGTTTACTAATCAATAGAGACATGAAACTTTCAAATATTACCTGCGTAAGTCATGCCTTAGCGTTCAGAATACGTTTGGGATCGTTTCTGCGAAAAAAGTGTACAAGCACTACTATAATTCCTAGAATTCATATTCATTACAAAGGGAATTATATTATGCAGTACAGTTACCGTATTATCGATAGCCAAAAGTACTCCCAATATCAGAAAATGCCAAGTTTGAACACAAATATTTTAGATACTCAGGCTCATGCGCCTAGTAAAAAGCACCGATTATGAAAACAACGAACTATACTTCAACCACATTCAACTGCATCAGGCATTCTTGGATGGACAAAACTGCCACCCTTGTACCAGTGACGTAATTACTAATTTTATCATTGGTCGGTCTTTTTGACCGACACGCGTGTACTCCCGGGTTAAACCTCTGTTTAACTCACGATGCAAGTGAGTTACATATAAGTTAAAAATGACAACATGAAATATTGAAAACTGAAAAAGATGAGTGCTGCCGTTTGGCAGGGTTTTGACAGGTGTTAAAACGGTTGACATTTTTAGACTTAACTTGGTCGACTTGGTAAAAATAGATTTTTTGTTCATCAAAATCTGCCATAGTTACTCTGCTTTTGGATATCAGATTCCAATATTTGACAGCTAACCAGGCCTCACCTGTCATATATATACAGGGTTGTGCCCATGATGAAAAATGTTGCTTACGGCATCCCCAATAACATATTTAAATTTCATGCAAATGTCACGGGTAACCAATTTCCATTTAAATATTGCGGGGTCCTTTGCTTGTATTGAATTGGTACACGTATCCCATTATTACAAACAAATACATGTTTTGTTTATCGCCTTTTCCACATTGTGGACGTCGCCGACGTAGAGGTAAATACCAGGCCTAGTAGATAAGCTAATCTAAATTAGCAAATATTATTAAGGATAACATACAAAATCTAAATTTCCCAGAATTGCAGACGGAAATTGAAAGAATGAGAGACTAGCTTCCAAACAACTCATATTTTTAACATTGAAAATGTTTCTCTCATCTTAGTATGGGAGGTCAAATCGGGAAAATCTGCATACCTACTATACATTTGCCACATGACGTCTCATCAAATCAAGATTCATTTTTAATAAAATCTAAATCACATAAACTCTGCATTTTACTTCATTTTAAATGTCCCTTGGTAATTGCATCTTTGCCATCTTTGCGAAGGACTGTGAATTTTTTGACCTGGTCAGTCCAACTATTATAACAACTGGTATATAAGTACTCGGGTAAAATCCTAATTTATTATTCAACATGCAGATTGGGATCATCCTAAATAAACTACAGAAATAATAAATAATTTACATTATAATTTCTAGGTGAAAGTTTCTAGTGTAAAATGTGTTCAGAATATGTTAGAAAATAAAAAATTAAAAAAAAATGGGAAAATATGTACCTACTCAACTTTATCTTTTTGACACCCAGAAACTATTGGAGGTGAATAATTCGTTCCATTTTTCATTCCATCCTTCCCAGTATAAACTTCACTTGACCTTTTGACACTTTCATCGAAACTACTAAGTGCCAGCAAGTTAAAAAATCTTATTGTAACTTCTTTTTCAGAAAGATTTATCTATTCTTCTCAGCCAGCGCGTCCAGGAACTAATAAAAGTAAACGAAGCAGCACACCCAGAACCCACCAGAACTATAGTATGCGGAGTACCATATACAGCAGTACCTATTACATCACTGGTATCGGTTAATGCAGATATACCGATGATAATGAAAAGGAAACAAGCGAAAGATTATGGAACAAAAAATTTGATCGAAGGAGTTTGGAGTAAAGGTGACACTTGTATTTTAGTTGATGACGTTATTATGTTTGGAGATAGCATTTTGGAGATTGCTACAGAACTCACCAATTCAGGTAAGTGTCCATAGGTCTGTTCCCACAGGAGTCTCTGACAGTTTGCAAACTGTCAGAAACAATCGCTCAGCTGAGTTACAGATTTATCTTGTAACGACAGCATTGAAAACATGCATGGGCGATGCTTAGCGACAGTTTGCAAACTGTCAGAGACTCCTGTGGGAACAGACCTCATATCAATATATCATGTTATCCACTAAAAAATTACTTTTTCAATAAATCCTGAAATTTTATTTATCAGTTGTCCATTTGATTGATGTAAAAGTACCTACTAATGTTAATAAAAATCCACGCAAAGTATTTAGTTGTAAAACTATTTGCAACTTTTAAATACTCTTTCTTTATAATAATGTTTCAGCAATGCATTTCGTCGCGTAAATTTTTTTTTTTAATTTTCAGGCTTGAACTGTTCCCAAGTTGTAGTAATATGCGACAGAGAGCAAGGGGCCATAGAAAAAGTAGCTAGAAGAGGAATAAAAGTGTACGCCTTGCTCACGCTGTCTGAAATAATGAAGTACCTATTGGAAAGTAACTATGTAACAAATCAAGACTGTGATATGGTTCAAAATTATTTAGCTAATAATCAAGTATCTGACCAGTTAATTAATGGCCAATAAAGTTTTATATTGTGTTCTGAAAAATTCTTGTTTGTTTTTATAACAATAAAACACCCAATAATTATCACCCTTACTTTAGGATTGAAAATTAAGCGACGAAAATATTTCATTTTTAAAATGTATGTGTCTTGTACACCATTTCATTCCCAATGAAAAATTGAAATGGGAACTAAAGCCTTTGTTGATAGTCATATTGTCATTCTGAATTTTTATTATTTATCCGAACTTATTGATGATTACAAAATAAATATAATGGGGTAGTGGACAATTTTTTGAAATATTTTTTTTATTAATCTCCACAACAAAATAAATAGTAGTTGTAGTTGATGATTCTTTGATAGTAGAAAACGAAAATAAACCTAAAAAAAAATTAACAAAGGACCCCGCACACTTCTTATGGGATTTCTGACCGCGGTCAAATTTACCCAAGTTTTAGTATTTTATAGATCTCACCTTTCTGATCAATAACTCTCATGGGCACAACTTAATCCTATGTCTAGTTTTTGAGTTACAGGTAGTTTAATGTCCAAGAAATGCACACATTTTATATGCATTTACATCTGCCTGTCACCTAAACATACCAGGTTGGACAGGTATTTTCACGCTCAGGTGACAGATAGATGTAAATCTGTTTTTTTTTAAAGATAAAAGTCAAAATGACATTCTGTTGGCAATACAATGTAAAATTGTCAATGCTTTTAAATTTTTTATGTAGAAAAGGCTTGCGTTGCCAACATAGTTACTAAATTTTTGACTTGGGGAATTATCTTTAAAAAAAAACACATATAAAATGTGTGCATTTCTTGGACATTAAACTATCTGTATCTCAGAAACTAGTCATATGATTAAGTTGTGCTCATGGTAGTTATTGATCAAAAAAGTGAGATCCATAACGTACTAAAATTTGGTTAAATTTGACCGCGGTCAGAAATCCCATAAGAAGTGTGCGGGGTCCTTTGTACCCTTTTTAAACGCTATGATTTACCCCCCGGAAATTACGTCATAGCTGTTGTGTCCATGATATTCTGACATTAATAAGAGAGGTGAGAGCGCGGTCTGCGCGTCCTTATATTTTACATGCTTTTAGAAAAAGATGCAGATAAACTCAGACTCTGATTGACAAATGGAAATCTCTCAAAAAGTGGGGTAAAGTTGAGGGTGAGTCTAGATGTAATGACACACAGACGCTGATATATCTCTCTTTTTTGCACTAATGAGTGTGTCGAATATAGGACGAAGGTTTGATTCATTTCATACTCAAATACAACAGCTATGACGTAGTCTTCATGTAATGAATCACATTGCTCAGTATTTATTTGCTTCTTAGAGCAGGTAAAGCGCTGTCCTACGGACATAAGGAGTAGGAACGCGCCATTCTGCTTATGAAACTAAAGTGAAGCCAAGTTTTGGGCAGGTGTTTGGCACCAAAATACAGGTAAAGCATTGAATTGCCATAACCGCCATTTTTTGTGGTCCAAAACACCTGGAAAAAAACGGCTTCATTTTCAAATCCAGGTTACTACTCCTTTACCTTTACCTGCTCTAAGATTTGCTTGTTGCAATCGACAGGCACGAGGTTTGTAGTTACTTCAGCAACAAATGGTTTGTAGAAACCCAGGTCCTTTTGTACAGTTTTGTTTGTCTCTGAATCTGTGCTGCTGTTGATTTTATCCCTATTTCCCTTTTCCAATTTAAACTTCTCCTCAAGTTCTGCAATTACTTGTGAATATCTTTGCTCTTCCACGGAAAATTTAAATTTCCTCAATTTTTGTAGAAAGTATGTATTTTTCAAAAACAATATCATGTGCAATATTGGTTTGCTTTCCAGAAGAAGTTCTTTGTTTCAATGGTAGGAATTCAAGTGTTTTTGGATAGGATGTATCAGTTTTTCTCTTAATCGGAGTGCTTTGAGATGCAAGGGGCACAAATATTTTTTGTTTGGGTTTGGGCAAATCCTCTAAAGATTTGCTCAGTCAATGTCAATCCTGTCCAACACTTCAAAATATCTGGAACTTCATTGAAATCGCTGTCGCTTTCAGTTGGAATACTATAACTTCCAGAAGTGATGCTGTCCTCGCATGATTCATCACTTTCAGTTATTGATGTCGACGTTTCCAGGCTGAAAAATGAACTGTAAGAATCGCACATTTGGTGGAATTAAACTGCTTGCTACTGAAAAGTATTCTGATACGGCATCGTCTATCGAACTAGTATATCTGGCCTGTGAATTTTCTGTGACTTCATAAGCGCTCTCCGAGGAGATGTTTAGTGCTTTTCGTTTTCGATCCAAAAAACCGTAGGCAAAATTCGCGATTTTAAGGTTGATTGACTCGTTGAATCCTTGAAAACACGAACTATCAGTGTTCTTAATCTAAGGAAGAAAAAACAGCCAGGTAATTTTTGGAATGGAATATTAAAGAATTATGTAGATTTGCATGATTTTTGTCCCTTTTCTTGAGATTTGGGATGGGGTAACAAAGTGTTTGATTATCAGTAGACAATTTTGAGCGGAATTGAAAAAGTTATTAATGTGAAAGAACAGAAATTTCCAAAAATAAAAAATCTGAGCTATTGTGATACTTATCCATATAAGATGAGAATTATAACAAAAACATTGATGTTCTTCGTACCCAGACAGAAAAAATTAATTACAAGAGAAGAACAACAAGAAATTTTCAACCTTTTTCAAACCAAAAGAAAAAATTGTTTGAAAGTTTTTTTCAGGTAATGACCAATGTGCAAATCAGGGACAAGAGTCCCTGTTTGGGAATCGACCCACTGAGTAGTGGACCCCGCATTCAGGGACTCTTGTCCCTGATTTGCACGTTGCTCATTACCTGAAAAAACTTTCAAACAATTTTCATTGCCAACGAAAGCTCAGACCAACCAGTGTAGTTCAATGCCGGTAGGGGTATTTGCCCTCGGAGTAGTTGTTTCTGATTGTCCAACGAAATTCAAAAGAAAAAAATTTAATAAAAGGAAACGAAACTGGTGAAATTGTTATATCTAGCTGAGAAAATGAATAATAAACAAATAATTTAATGAATAATATTGGCCGCGTTCGCCAGATACAAACATTGATAAACGGTTTGCGATTGTTCTGCTGAACGCTACGTTGAATTTGTGTAAAAACCAAACATGTTTTGCAAACGGTCGCCATTTTTGCAAGCATAATTTCAGAGTGTTTATAATTTTGAACACTGTGTTTTGTGTGGTGACCTGTCATTCAGAAGGTGACTGAAAAGTTGAATCGTTCAGCAGAACCAAGAGTTTACCCAACATATTCTGTTGGTATTTGTAAACTGTTTATAATCCGTTTTGGTTCTGGTGAACGTAGCCATTATGTGTCCAGTATCCAGCCAGAGTATACCATTATTATAGTGAATTTTCTTAGCCAAAGAGATGAATGTAAATGTGTCGAATGATGCTGTACCTATTGGAAAAACTTAATTTACACCTCAAAATTTATAATTCAAATTGAAAATAGATATACCTACCTACTAAATCAAAAACTAATGAATTTGTAACTTTGCATATCCATAAAATGCTTATGTTACAGAAAGGGATATTTAATTGAAACGGCTTAACAGTATGTTACCCAGAATTGAAGAACATCTCATAAAAATAAATAATCAACCATCCAAGGACCTTTTTTTTTCAGTTATACATGTAAACCCCATACTTTGTGAGTGGCTTGCTAACATCAAGTCCGACAACTTTTTCCTCTACGACTTTTCTCGGAAATGGCACCTATATGCGCGCAGGCGACTCGCAAAAATGTCGATCTGACGTAGCTATGTTTCCTGATACATGTAAATCTAATTTTACGAATAATATTTGATTTTTATCAATGTCTAAATCACGGAAATCAACTTGGCCGACAAAAATAGTGGCAAATTGGGAGAGTCCGACACCCCCAAAATGTCGATGTTGTCGAAACAGCCAAACAATCGTATTTATTTTTTATGATCACAGTGGCAACGTTGCAGAAAAGCCCCCCGCCGTGAAAACTTGCCGCTAGCGCCGTACCAGGCTGTACGCATCGACCCAGTCTGGTTGTTGTCGCTAAGGGAAAAAATGCATTCCTTATCTTTTTCACTTCGCAGTGTGATGTTTAACAGTGTGATTTTAGTAGTGTGGTTTCACTAGCAGTAAATAGGGCATAAAAACGGCTAGCTCTATACAAGTTTGAACCTGCTCACTTTTCTCTAATTATTTAATTATTCTCTCTAGTTGCACCCTTGTGCAGTCTCTCTCTCGCTCTCTAAATAAAAAGACTTATTTTTTTACAATAGAGAGATATAAAACTGGAAGTGTGAGTGCATTATTTAGCAGTGACATCCCCATCCCCTTTATGATCCAGTGATCTATCCCTAAATTAAATGTTGACACCTCAGTTAGAGGCCCTAACATTTTGGTCCTTCGAGCCGGATTGGGGGTGTGCTGCTGGAAGTGTTACGTCCCTTCATCCCTTGTTTGTTGCTAATGATCAACAACCATCAACAACTCGATCCACAAGTAAGTTTCTGGAATACTTGCCGGAAAGCAGATAAATTGGTACCGAGATTGGTACGTCGTTCTTCGAGATCTTCTACTCCCTCGTCGACCTTCACAAAAGGTAACAGAACTTGTACTTTATTTATTTCAAGACTAAAGTGTTCAGCTCGGTGTTCAGTGTACTCTAATGCTCTATAACTAAAACACAGTGATTTTTTCATTGTTCCTATTTTTGAATGTTATACAAAATATTGTAAATATTGACTCTCACTCTCTCACACTTGGTTTTTTAAGCTTAATTATTTATTTACTGAATTATTTATTGCATTTAAAAACAAAACAAAAAATACCTTGATTTATTTGCAAATTTAGATTTATTTTGATTTGATTATTTTGCCCATTGTTTGAATTTTTCTACTCTGTAAAGTTGAGTCATAAAAACTTATTTACTTTTCTTTCTAGGTTCAAGGTATTCGCTTATTTTCTCTACCTATACTATTTTCTTTAGTGTAAGGGTCTTGATTTTT